ATGCGAGCTAGCCAGGCAACTTCCACACACTTTGGTTGGCTTTCACTGCAGCAGGCTCTAAGACTGCAAAGTGAGCTGCTTAAAACCTCCACTACTTCCTTGTGCCAACTACAAATTACTCTCTCACTGAACTAAAGTGCAGAAATCAGTCAGGCACCGGGGCTCGTGTAAGACGCCAACCAGCACCCTGGTTTCAAGAGTGTGCTCATGATAACAGGATCACTGCTCTGACTAGGACGTGAAAAAAATCACAGATGGGAACTTACAAGCACACTGATCTGCAGCCATCGCCTGCATGTGCTTTATATATTGGGGCTCCTTGTTCAAGTTCCACTACTTTAAAAAAAAAAGTGAAAGGGACTGGTGGTCAAGATCCTTTGGGTTGCAGTCCTAACCCTGCCACCATTAACGGTTTAGCAACTCTGGGCCTCAGTTTCCTCATCTATCAAATGGGAACAGAGCCACCCACTTCATAGCTTTGTTAGAATTAAAAGTGCACACCGAAAATACGTGCTACTCTACTTCCTTCATAAAATGCGGGCAGTGATGCTGCAACTATGACCAACAATATTACGAATAACAGATGAATTAAAGTATTGCCAATCAAAAAATAGATCACTAACTCTGCTACATGTGCCCAATAGGGTACTCCCTGTTCCACCCCCTGAAGTCTCGAGAGATTCCCCCCTTTAGCCCCGTGAGACCAATTTCATCTCCACGTACAGATGGGGCTTTGAGAGAGCAATAGTAGCCGCCCCCTCTGCATTTTGTACTTGATTTGAGACCTCGACAACACACGTGAAAATCAATGCAGGTAACTTGGGTTGGGACTTCACAGGGTTTCAGGAGGAGCAGTGGTATTAAGGTGGAGTTAAGCCTGTGGCCTGCGCCTGTGTGCGCTCCTGGGCCAGCCCCTCCTTTCAGGAGCAGAGAAAATGTTTGCAGGGCAAGTCTTCAGTGTGGCTTCAGGGTCCCTGACTCAAAGCAGGCAGGACTGCTGACTCTGTGAAGCTCAACCAGCTGGAGCAGAACGTGGGTGGGGGGAGAACTGGGGGCAGCGCGCTCCCAACGGCCCCTTTCCCAGCTTGGGCAGGTGCCAGGGCCCTGGAAGGCAGCCAGTATTCGCCAGAAACGGCTTGCTCTTCACAAGACAATGAGTCCACTGTTAACTGGCAGGACCTTGATTAATATTTGCAAAAGGAACCAAGTGGAAAATTCCACCTGTGAGGGCGGAGGCAGGGCCTGGGACATGTCAACAACCCCAATGGCCCTGCTCTCCCAGGATGGCTCCAGCGGAGATACAAAGGTCTGATAACAGTGACAGAACCTGAGAGTGTCCTTGCACCGGGTCCAAAGGAATTTCCCTGTTTGGATCATAGACACATTAACTTGTTCTTTCCTGTCCTGCCTCCCCTGCCCCTAAATTTACGCAGCACCTTTAAATCTTTCAACTTTCCTCCCATCTCTTCAGAGTCACCTAACAGCCTTGCCAGTCCAGCAGGGCTGGTGTCAACCCCATTTATGGATGAGAATAACTGAGGCTCCAAGACACCAAGAGCCTCGCTGAAGGCTGCAGCAGGTGAGTGAGTAGCTCAGCCAGGGGATGAGGGACCCTGCCATCTCGACCCCTAGCTGTGACCCAGAGCCTGCCCCAGGGGGTCTGGGGTCAAGGGCCACGGGTACTGGACAGAATGGTCCTCCAGCTCCAGCAGAGGCCCTGACCTTCACCCACCAGAGGAGGAAGAGGAACAAGCCCAAACCAGCTCTCCCAGTTGGGAAGGCTTGGGTGCTGGCCTTGGAGGAAGGCAGGCATTCACTCATGCATCAAGCATTTAAGGAGTGCCTACGATACCCGCATGAAGGCACACTGCACGATGGCTCTTTCAGACACCAGACCTGGCAGAATTCATGACCCAAGGGGGAAGGTCAGAGTATTTCCAAAGGTCACATCCTCAGACTTGAGTCACCTCATTTAGCCACTGCCAACACACTCTTACCTGCTGATTTTACAGAACAGGAAAGTGAGGCTCTGAGAAGGGGAGAGCCTCGCCCGAGGTCACAGAGAGAGAGAGGCTGACACTTCCTGACCCGCAGTGGCCCTGCCTCCAGTGTATAAAGCCTCCACAATCCTGGGCTTAGGCCAGTGGTTCTCAACCTGTGGGTCGCGACCCCTTTGGCGGTCGAACGACCCTTTCACAGGGGTCGCCTAAGACCATCCTGCATATCAGATATTTACATTATGATTCATACCAGTAGCAACATTACAGTTATGAAGTAGCAACGAAAATAATTTTAAGGTTGGGTCACAACATGAGGAACTGTATTTAAAGGGCCAGAAGGTTGAGAACCACTGGCTTAGGCATTCAAGCAAATGGTGTCCCTCCCACAGGCCTCCTCAGACACTGCACCTTTATCAACAAGGGCCTCTCACGGAGGAACACTTTTCTCAATGGCCGTCAGAGCAGCGTGGCACACCCCAAGAGGACAGGCAGGCACACCTTGTTTGCCCACAGGGAACACCAGGTGTGGCCGCCGGGCTCACCTCTGGGCCCGCACTCTCTGCCATCCTGTCTGCAGAGCACGGGCATCACTGCCATCCTACTGAGGGCCAGGCTCACAACAGTGTAATGCCTCTGTGCCTGCACCCCAAGCCTGGACCCAGGGCAGTGGATGGGGGGACTCAGTCTGTGTCCCACGCCAATGCCCAGCATCCCTTCTTCCCCTCCTACCCACATGCTCAGCGACCTCTACTTCACCTCACCTTCCCCCTCTCCTTTGCCCAGCAGTTTCTTCTCCTGAAGAACCTCAGCCTCTCCCGTAGCTAAAAAAAAAAAAAAAAAAAAAAAAAAAGCTACCCCCATACTTCCATATCTGAACCCACTTACTCCCATGCCCCTCTCACCCCCTCAAGCCAAAGCCACATCTAACTGCCAGTGACGTAGGCCAGGGGGCCCCTGAGATCAGATGCAGCCACAGAAGGCAGGGCTACTGTGGGTCAGGAGGTCTCACCTCCTCCCTGTGTGACCTCTGTCCCACTGTCCCCATGAGCTGCCTCCTCACTCCTGATGCAGTCCCCCCTAGCCTCACCGCAAAGCTCTCCTCCCCCAGGGCCCTGTTCTCCTCCCCTTTCTAGCACCCCCTAGAAATGTCTGCCTCACAGATCCCGTCTCCAGGCTTGACCTCTGCACCCCGGTTGTCCCCAAAGCCTTCGCACTCAACAGTCCCAGGTTCCCACTGAAAGGCCTGCTTTGGCGCAGCTGAAACCCAGCACAGCTCCAGCCTGGCCCACCGCAGGGACTGAGCTATGTGAAGGGTTTGGTTAGCAGCTCCCTCCTTGTGGTCTCCGAGGGGCTGGCCTCCCACTGACCTGTACAGCCACCCAGGCAGCCTTTCTAAAACTGAATACTGACCACCACCTCAACCTCTGCTGGGACTCCTTGCCACCACGGGACAAGGTTCAAGATCTCAAGCTGGCAGACGAGGCACTTTCACAGCAGGGCAGGCACATGCCCTTGAACTTACTCTCACCACACTCATCCTCAGTCCAAGACGGCCCATGAGCCTGCACCCATGTGGTGTTCACCTTTGTACCTAGTACTGGCATCCTGCTAAGAAGACAGCTATTAGAGCTGGACATGATATCAGGAACCACAGGGCTTAAAGCAACTCACAGAGGTTGAGCAAGGTGTCCAGGGTCACCCAGCCCCAGGCAAGGGTGAGGCAACCTCACTCTTCTTGGTCAGGAACTGGAAATGTCACGTAGAACCCCGTATGTATGCATGCCAGAACCCCCAGGTGGTCTTGAGGCTTGGCCCACTCTCTGTGATCTACTGTTAGCCCAGCTGATTTTTGTTAACCTTCCCCTAAACCACTATGTCTCAAAAAAAAAACAGTCCCCCACCACCTGTGTCAGATTTACCAGGGAGGGCTTGTTAAACGCAGATCTCAGACCCTGCCCCATCTGAGGGTCTGGTAAGAATCACTGAGAAAGGACGGGAATTTGCATTTAAGGCAATGCTGAGAATCCTGGGCAGTGAAACTGGAGAACCAAAGTTGCAAACTAGATCAATCCTCTAGAAATGTTACCCCGAACCCGCATATATGCATGTCAGAGACCCCACCTGACCTTGAGGCTGGGCCCACTCCATGCAGACCCAAAGCAGAACCCCGCAGGTGGGCCATACCTGGCACACAGTAGGACCACAGCAAAAACAGCCTTGGGAGATCCGAGTATTAGTGCCAGCCCTCATTTTGGGGAAATCTGCATTTAACAGAAAAACCTGGGGGGAAGGGAGGATTTCTGTTACCCTAAATAACATAGAACTTAGTTCCTGCAACAGGAACTAGCTTCAGGAAGAATTCAGTAAGGCTTGTCCCACCCCTTTTGCTCCAGGGGGTTCGCCTTTGCATAAAGTGGCGTCCCACTCTCAGCGCCCAGCAGGGGTCTTCCTGACTCACCAAACCTCCGGCCTGGGGCCGGCTGAGGCTGCGGCCAGGGCCCTGCGGGGCGGAGGGGACCGGAGCGCGGACGGCGCCGTTGTGGGCTGGGTCGGCGGCGGTCGGGGCTCGAACCCTGCTGCTACTCACCCTGGGCAGCTGGGCCCAGTGCCTGGACGGGGCAGTGGGCTGTGCGGAGCTGGAGCAGGAGCAGAGGCTGAGCTAGAGGAGCGGCGGCGGCGGCCCCTGCCCGCTGCACTTTAACTGCCAGCGCCCCGCGCGCTCTCCGAGGCCAGGAGAGGAACCGCGGGCGGCGGGCTCGGGCAGCGGGGCGGAGACGCAGCGCCAGGCTGGCTGCTGGCTCGGGCGGGCCGGGCGCGCACAGCCCGAGGCGGGAATGCAGTCTGCACCTGGCTCACTGCACGCACGTGTGCGCGGGGTTGGCGTGCGCCTCTGCGGCGCGTGCTCTGGCCGCGAAGGGTCTTGAGCCGCTGGGACCCGCCCATCCCTGTGAATCCCGCAGGCGAGGGCTCTTCCAAGTTCCCCACCCGGGGAGGGGGCGGCGGGGCCGGGGTGGCGCTGTGGGAGGCGGAGCCCGGAGGGGTGGCCAGGGCGCCTTATAAGAGCGCTATAGGAACCTGGCGAGGACCGCGCGGTGGGGGGCGGTGGCCCTGCGATGTCGCTGGTGTTGCTGAGTTTGGCTGCGCTGTGCCAGGGTGCCCAGCCCCCGGAGCCGGTAAGCTCCCCTTCGCGCCCCTTTCCCGCATTTCCATCCCTTGAGCCTGGAACTTGAAGTTGGCCGACCGGCCAGTTCGAGCCTTGTTAAGGCGTTTGCGAAGGGCCTTCTGGAGAGGGCAAGTCTGCACCCTGGGGTACCCCAACTTGTCCTGGTCAGGCGGCACCAGGCTTCCTGCTGCTTGGACAGACGGACGGAGGTTCAAATGCCACCCTTTACTCTTAATCCAGTCATTTATGCTCATTGAACCTCCGTGTCCTCATCTATAAAACAAAGGGTAACACCTAACTCACCAGAATCTAGTGAGGAACAGGAGGGCCTGCCGCAAAGAGCCCGGCACACAGTAGGTGCTCAGCACTGTTACTGCTTGGGCTCTTGAGGCCTGCCTACCTTTGGGGGTGCAGGATCTGCTTCTCTATTACCACTCACTTTTGTCATGTTGATTCAGGCTGTGCTGAGATGCCTGGTCCCTGGAACTGGTAAGGGCTGTCCTCTCCTGCATGAGTATCCTTTCTTCCCCAGTGCCTTGAACAGCTGAGGGAATGTTCTGCATCACTAAAGAGGAAAAAGCTCATTCGCAAAGTGTTTGAAATTATACCCCTGCCTTTTCAGCACAGCATGTCACATAAAAGCACGTAGTTATGGAAAGACAAACCCACTCGGGCACCCTGATGTCTTCAGCTGCTGTCCTTGCCGCACCTGTCTCGGTTAGGCACCCCTTGGCCTTTTCCACTACAGGAAGAACGCATTGCCTCTGCGGTGGTTGCTATTAGGCCAACAGTTTGCTCTCTAATATACAGATCTGTTGCTTTGCTTCTTCCTACAACTTGTCCCACCAGGCTTTTGGTGACCAATTTGTTTTTAAATTTGTCTGACATTATCCCTTGGAGTTCAGCTTCAAAAGACAAAGGTGAGGGACTGACAATTGCACCTAAACCCAGATTACCCAAACCATCAAACGTCTTGCCTTCTGTCTAACACGGTGTTTGGAAATTTTGAGGTGAGAGAAATCAGCTCCTAGAGCTGGTGGACCTATGGCATTGAGTCTTGTCACTAGTACTTGTTTCTGCCTAAAAGGTTCAGTATTTTATTCCAAAACCAAGCTACTAATTGTCTTTTCTTGTTAAAAAAAAATAAAAAATGCCCTAGCCGGTTTTGCTCAGTGGATAGAACGTTGGCCTGCAGACTGAGGGTCCCAGGTTTGATTCTGGTCAAGGGCACATGTCCAGGTTGTGGGCTCGCTCCCCAGGGGTTAGGAGGGACATGCAGGAGGCAGCTGATCAATGATTCTCTCTCATCATTGATGTTTCTTTCTCTCTCTCCCTCTCCTTCCTCTCTGAAATCTATCTATCTATCTATCTATCTATCTATATTTTTTTTAAATGAGCAGTTAACTCCAAGAGGATCAGGTACTGGCCTTCTTGGGCACCGATGATACATATTTATTTTTTAAAGTTCTTTTAAAAAGGTAACATGATGAGCTCACAGTTGCTTTATGACTTTGTAAATAACACAGATGAGTCTGTCCTTTTGTATTAGAAGAAGAATATTTTCAAGAACTTGGGGAAGGTACCATAAACTGCATTCGTGGCTTTCTTCTGTTCATCTTCTTAGCGTAGCCAGTTCTTAACCTGGGAAAATAAAAAGATACAATACGCTAGCTGGCCCTGAAAACCTATGGTTCAATGTTAGAGTGTGAAGCGGTCTTCGCGATGGCCCAGAGCCATCCTCTTCGGTCTTTAAGTGAAGCGATAAGCAGGCTTCAGGACCTAGTATACTGATAGCTGACCCATGGTCCAGCATAGCCCACATGGGGCAGCTTAGTCTCCCCCAAACTGGGAAGGGGAGCCAGCCCAGCTTTTTGAGCATTCGGCACTTGTATTTGCATTTAAGAAAAAAGGATGGTGTTTTGACTAATTTGGCTTGTGTTTGCTGGTATTCAGCATGACACTTGGTTTCTTTCTCTCTTGCAGACGATTCAGTGTGGCTCTGAGAATGGTAGGTGACTGGGGAATGGGTATTTGAGGCTTTACATTGAAATTGAAAACACAGTTGGACTTCTATGGGGCCCGAATCCAGGCAGTGGGTCATCAGAGGCCAGGCTTAGGGTGAACTATTGCTTTGTTAGCTGAAGCACATGCAGCATCTCTCAGAGCTCCCAGTGTTTCAGATTCGTTGGGGGGGGGGGGGGGGGGTGTCCTGGCCAGAACGACAGCAAGAGGGGACAGGCAGGCCAGGAATGACTGTGCAAGGTAGAAAGTGAGGTCTGCCACTCCTGGGAGGGAGAGCAAGTGCTGTGGGAGGCTGGTCACTTACACTTAGAAACAGGAAGCGAGTATTTTAGAGGAGTGTTTGAGAGTGTAGCGTTTGAAGACTGGGTGGATTTCTGTCCAAGAAATGTGGATGAAGAGGGCGAGCTGGAGGAGAGATGGTACCTGCAAAGACTAGAAAGTGGGAAGTATGTGGGCCAGCTGAATGGAGTCCAGGCTGAGGCATGGGGAAGGCAAGACTGATTCTAATAAACATGTCAAATACACTAAATACATACATACACAGACACACAGAGGCACCTAGAGTGGTCCCAAGTGGTCTGTAGGTTGGGGCCAGGAGATTGCGTCAGTTAACACTGGAAAGTGTCAGGCTGCCTCAGCAGGGAGAAGCGATGGACTGTGAATGAGGGTTGGATCAGGGAGAGTCGCTTAGAGGAGATGGCGCTGAATTGGGCGAGGGAGGGGTGTGTCATGGGCAGTCTCACCTCCTCCCAGGACCTTCTCCAGAGTGGATGGTCAGTCACACTCTGACCCCAGGAGACTTGAGGGACCTTCGAGTGGAACCTGTTGTAACGAAAAGCTCTTCAATTCTGATGAACATAAGCTGGATACTCCGAGCAGATGGTAAGTTTGCATCAATCAAAGTTAAGGTAGAAATGTGCAGATTATGTGATCCTTTAATTTTAATCCTAGACATATACCCAGAAGAATATATACATACATGCACCCAAAACTACATACTAGAATGTTCATAGTAGCATTATTCATAACAGCCAAAAGATGGAAATGCCTGACTAGAATTGTAATCACAGATTGGAATCCAATAGAGCAATGAGCACGAACAAGCTGTGACAATACACAATGTGGATGAATCTCACAAATCCAAGAAGCCAGATTCAAAAGCGTTTCTACGTTCATATCTGCATACTGCCTATCGTCGTGTGTACCATGATTCCATTAATAAAAATGCTGAACAAACAAAACTAAGGCAAGCAGTTAGGAGTCAGGATAGTGGTTATGCTGGGCTGGGAGTGACTGAAAGGAAGCAGGAGGGACACTCCTGGGGTGTTTCCGACCTGGGTACTGGCTACCTGAGTGTGAACACTCATCAGGTGGAGGGAGCCCTTCTGATCTGTGTGCTTCTCGGTGTGTAATGTCACACCTGAAGGAAGAAGACAAGTTGAGGACAGAGATGACTCCCCCAGGTTTAGGAAAAGTACCTCTTGGGTGGTGAGCATACAATATACAGATGATGTATTACAGAATTGTACACTTGAAACCTAAATCATTTTATTAACAAATGTCACCTCAATGAATTCAAGGAAAATTTAAGAGGGGAAAAAAGGAAAAGCACTGGCTTAGATGACTTCCCCACTTCTCAGTAGCTTGTGGAAATCCTGGCAGCCCCCCAAGGCAGCTTGTGATGAGCCAATTCCAGGGTCCTAAAGGTCACGTCTGTGGTTCCACCCTAAATTCAGTTAAATTCCATTTGGCCAGGACTCTGGGAGTGCCAGGCACAGAGAGGTGCGTCAGCTATGGACATGGGCACAGGGACAGTGCTCAGAATCCCAGAAGGAGCTGTGAGTCGATGGGTGCCGGGAAGAGAGGAGCGGGCCCTGGTGAGGTCACTTTAAATTAGATGTTGCAGTAACACGATTGGCCCCATACTTAGCAGAGTGAGCTCTTGTATCTGTCAGCCGTTGCTATAGATATAAGTTGGGCCCTGAAGGAGCAAGCCCTGGAGAGGCAGATAGGAGAAAAGGGCACTCCAGGAAGAAGACTTGGCATGAATGAAAGTGCAGTCAGAGCAGGCATGGTTTGGTGATGACATTCTGGAAGGTTCTTCCTTCTGAAGAGACTCAGAATAGTGCAAGCTAGAGTCACCTTGTAGGTATCCTGTGAAATTCAGGCTTAGCTGTGATGAGGAAAACATTTGGGCTTTGGAATCTGAATCCATATTCTACCCAATGAGCTTTGTGAGCTTAGGCAAATCTCCCTGAAATTCCCTAAATGTGAGTGAGCTGAGGACAACAATGGTGCCTGCCTTTTAGGTCTGTTGTATGAAATGAGATGAGGCATGTACACTCTTAGCATCAAGCCGACCACATAATGGGTGCTAAATAACCAGCTGCTCTCGTCTCTCTCATTAGCCAGCATCCGCTTTCTGAAGGCCACCAAGATCTGTGTGTCAGGCAAAAGCAACGTCCAGTCCTACAGCTGCGTGAGGTGCAATTACACAGAGGCCTTCCAGACTCAGACCAGACCCTCTGGCGGCAAAGTAAGCACTTGGAGAAACTTGTCCTTAAAACTAGGAAGGCCCTTTGCTAGGGTATATGGATGGAGTGCTGCACACACAGGCTGGTGAGCACCTGCAGCTTCCAGCCTGGAGCACGCTGTCTGGGTTCAAAGCCCGTTTTTGTGTACCTTGGGCAGGTCAGCACCTCTCAGCCTCAGTTTCCCCATCAGCAAAGTGAGGGAGACTGAACTTATATTTTGGTTCTAAAATTTTACACTTTTTTGCTTCTGTGAGTTACACTGACAAATTGTATGGGGACCATTCCCTAGGTCAGGGGTGGGGAACCTTTTTTCTGCCAAGAGCCATTTGGGTATTTACATCATTCACAGGCCATATAAAATTACCAAGTTAAAACTTAGCCTGCTATATTTGGTCAAACATTTAATTAATTCACCACCAATGCCTTGGCAGGGCCAGATTTCAAGGGCCTTCCTTATACAGCCCGAGGCTGGACATTCCCCACTCCTGCTCTAAGTAGACACTGACTAGAGACCTAAGTTTCAGCAGTAGGCTAAGGAATGAAACTATGAATGAAAGGCCACACAAAGGTACTATGTTCCTGCATTGCCATGTTTCAGAAATTTAGGGGTCCTTCCTTTGCCTTTCAGTGGACGTTTTCTTACATTGGTTTCTCTGTGGAGCTGAACACACAGTATTTCATTGGGGCCCATAACATCCCCAATGCAAATATGAATGATGACAGCCCCTCATTGTCTGTGAATTTCACCTCACCAGGTAAACTTCCTTCGTCTTCTGTTATTCTGTCTTGCTGGGAGGCTTGCTCTGGGGATGTGGCCTGATATAGGGAGTCAGGGTACCCTGGACAATACCCTCTGGCGGGTTTGGCCTTACCAAGTCTTGTACTATGGACACCACAGTAACTGCACCTCAGAGCAGAGGGGGTAAAATTGGGGAAAAGCCCATTTCCATGTGTCAGGCACTATGCTGAGCACTTGGATGCATCCTGTCACATAAGCCTCCAATAGTCTTGAGGATGGGATAGCAGCTTTACAGGTGAAGACATTTCTCCAGGAACTTGGCCTGGGTCACACACACAGTAAGAGAGAAGCTGACATTCAAACTCTGGTCCTTGTTGGGCCATGCACTTTAGCCACTCTTCGTCACTGATGCAAAACGTTTGTTCCAGCCCTGCCCAGTGTGGCTCAGTTGGTTGGGGCATCATCCCATATACCAAAAGGTCGTAGGTTCGATTCCCGGCCAGGATGTCTGTGGGAGGCAACTGATCGATGTTTCTTGCTCACATCAATGTCTCTCTCTCTCTCTCTCTCTCTCTCTCTCTCTCTCTCTCTCTCTCTCTCTCTCTCTCTCTCTCTCTCTCTCTCTCTCTCTAATTCTAAAAATTTTTTTTAAAAAAGGTAGATTGATATATTTGAAAATAACAAAATGTTTGTTCAAGTCTTGGCTTCCTAGCATGCTGTGTTGTTTGAGAGCATACTGCAGGGTCTGAGGATGTACAGCCACCAGGTGTGTCCCTGAGCTGTGGTGAAGGCAGGTGGCACTGTGTTCAATGTTGGGTTCTTTCCCTGCTTTACATCATTCCATCAGCTCCCCAGGGTGACACCTGCAATGTCGCACACAGGGCTGGGGTTAGGATGAGACAGGATCATGGGTGAAGGTGCCAGCATGGTGTCTGGCTGCAGCAGTTCCCAGAGCACCCCCATCTGGAATGGGTCACCTGTTTTGTACCCCACTCCTGCTCTGTCTCAGGTGAATTTCCAAATGGGCAATTTCCAATCGTTTTTTTGAGACTGTGGTCCAGGGTTTTCTTGGTGCCACACCTCTTACTACACAGCAGTTTCCAGCTTTCTTGATGAGAACAAACCTCATCTTAGACAATATAAATGTGTTTGTGTTGGAATGATTTTAAATTTATAGAAAAGTTGAAAAGATAGTTCGAAGAGTTTCCATTTACCCTTTAATGTTTCCCTTATCATTAACATCTCACATTACCATGGGACAGAGGTCACAACTAATAAACCAACGTCTGTACATTTCTGTTAACTAAGCTCCAGACTTTATTTGGATTTTGCCTGCTTTTCCATGAATGTCCTGTTGCTGTCCCGTCTCCTCTGGCCTGTGACAGCTTCTTAGTCTTTGTTCCTCATAGCCTTAACAGTCTTGAGGAGTGCTTGGTCAGGCGTCCGTATAATGTCCCCCATCTGAGTATACTTCAGGGGTGAGGCACCCTTCTTATGGCACCCCATCAGGGGTAGGTGACATCCACACACCATTGGTAGTGTTGACCTTTATCACTTGGTTAAGTGGCACCTGCCAGTCTTCTCCATGTAAATCTACTGTTTCCCCTTCCCAAGTCTAGTTTTGGGAAACAAGTCACTAAGTCTCCCCCACTTGGGATGGGAGAGTGTTATAGATTAAGCTCCACCGCCAGGTAGGGGCAGTATTTACACGTTACCCAACCTCATTTTAAAGGCTGGTTTGAATCTTCTTGGGGGATCATAGATCCTGTTGTGATAAAGGCTGCATTTAAGTTAGACTCTGGTTATCATTTCACGAGTAGATAATCTTCTGTTCAACAGTAAAATGTTCGTGTCCCACTTAAATCTGCTATCTTACCTCACATCTTGAATGTTCTGGCAATTCGTATGGGGTGTGATGAGCATATATGTGTGTGTACTTGTTGGCAAGGGTGTGGAGCACAGATACCTTTTCTAAAATGTAAAAAGTTTCATTCAAATTTCCAGGCTGCCTAGACCATCTAATGAAATACAAAACCCAGTGCATCCAGGCAGGTAAGTAATACAGCACTTGCTTTTGTTATTTGAAGGAACTCGTAACTTGAGCCAACAAGCTCAGCCCATCTTCCATGAGAAACGGAGGTGAGGGCAGGGGACTATGTATCCAAGCGGCTCAGGCAGTGAAGGCTGACCCGCCAGGGCTTTGCCCACTGAATCCCGCAGCCAGTGTGTCCAGGGAAGGACAGACCTGAGTGGGTTTATGTAGTAAGCAAGTCACAGAACCATGCCACACCCTGGTGGCTGAACCACATTTTAGCTCTAACCACATATGGTGGTGCTGATCGAAGGCCCTTCCTGATTGGAGGGGAGTCTGTAAGCCCTTCCACCTGCTCGGGCACCTGTATCTCTGATCTGTGGCCGTGGGGCCCTGGGAACCTTCTATGTGGATTAGCAAACACTCCTGGTGCGAGTACTAGCTGAAGCAGTGACCTGAAAGCATGTTCTCAACCTGTGTCCTCACAGGGGTCACCTCTTACATGCGAGGCCACTAGAACCTGCCCCTACCCTTTCAATTTTGAAATCAGCCCCTTCAGGACAAACAGTCCCAAGTGTCCAATTTCCAAAGATTGTAGGACTTGTTTAAATCTCTGGGTAATGTAGTGTGAGGATGCTCAAGAGGCTAGTGGTATTTAGCAGAATTGGTCCCTATCTTTTAGGCACCCCCATCCCACAAGGCATCCCTGTGTACCCTGTCAGGCTGAGCTGCACGTGGTCTCCTTGTTAGCAGATGTAGAGGACATTGGGGGTGTGAAGAGGTCTGAGGACCTTCAGCCAGTCCTGGAGCTGCGCCTGGGCCGGAAGTGGTCTCCTAGATGGGGAAACAATGCATGCTATTATACATCACCTTCCTGGAAATTAACCTCATGCTGATTTGCAAGTCACATGAGTGAAACAACTATTTTCTTCCCATAGAGTAGACCTGAAAACTTGTATTTGTTTTTGTCAAGCCCTTTTTGGGGACTTAAATGAGGGAAGAGTTTGCAGCTTCATCCATGTGATTCTCTCTCCACTGATAGGAAGTCTGTGGGATCCAAACATCACAGCTTGTAAGAAGGATGAGAAGACGGTAGAAGTGAATTTTACAACCAGTCCCCTTGGAAACAAATACATGGCTATTATCCTAAATAAAAATGTGATTGGGTCTTTGGATTTGGAGGTACTCTCTCCCTTCCTTTCCTTACCACCACCCCATCCTCAACCCCAGCTTTCCTTACCTTGCTGAAGAGCAATGCGGACACTCTAGGATTCCTTTCTTTTGAGAGACCCCGGGCAGGACTGTTTCCTGTCCAAATGTGGTGGGTGTTTCTTATTCATTCAATAGAGAAAAACAAGTCCCTGGCACTTCCCTGGAAATGTCCCTGTGAGCCTAAGTTGCAACCAAGGTAGAGGGTCCGACGCAGGAAATGAATCCGTGCTCACATAGTCTGATGCACTGAAGGGGTTTGGGAAGAGTGGTTTCTTCACTGGCCATCTTTGATCTACTCACTCACATGGCACATCGTTCTTGCTTTTGTCTCCCTTCTCTGCACCAGAGCAAACTAACTCACGTGTCTGTCAGGGTTCCAGTGACCCAGGAGAGTGAAGGTGCTGTGGTCCAGGTAAAGTTCAGTGATGACTCTGGGAGGGGAAGACTGTTTCTCCACTGTTGGTGGCTTTTGATGAGTCCTTTCAAAGTTGTAGTAGTGAGTTTGCATCCTGTGCATTTCTGCAGCTGTCACACATCAAGTGATGTTAATGGGAAATCCTTGGCTGGTCTAGGGGTGGGGAGGTCAGGAGGCTGACCTTACAGTTATGGCCCCTTTTGCTTTTATTAGTGGATGTTAACTTTCCAAAGGATTTTTGTTTTCATTTTCTGTTACAAAGTGTATGAGTAATTCTGAGACAAGAGTACCATTTATTTCCCCTAGCCTGTTTTAACTGCAAAATGAAGTAACAATGTGAAATGCCAAGACTTGGGTTCCTGATTAATGTACGAGCTTTGGAGGGCAACTGCCTTGTCCTTACAGGCCTCAGTTTACTCAGGTGGAAGGGAGGAAGTTGCACGAGTAGATGCTCTCCGGTCCCATTCAAATCTGAGTTTATGATGTGGGGCTGTGGAGGGTCTCAGTCAGGCACAGCCACACCCAAGATAGGAGGAGCTTTTGCTTCCCATTCCATGGAACATAAAGGCAGTGCCCTGCCCTGCCAGAGGGAGCAGACGCCTGTCCGCACCCTTTTCCAGGGAACCAGACTTTCCCAGTCCCTTTCTTTCATGAAGTGGAAATTAATAGGAGCCCTGCTGCCGCTTGTTTGAGGAACTATTTGTGTATATATGGGATGTGACCTAACCCACATAGATATGGAAAGTAACATGTTAGCAACATGTACAAAGTTCAGGTGCAGACCCCAGGAGACTTAGAAGGTGCTTCAGTCTTGGGTCACTGGTTTGGAATTTAGGGCTTTGTCACTGAAGTGTGACCAAGGGGAAAATGTCATATTACAAGGGGTGGGGAGTGGGGACAGGGTTGAAACCAGAAAAAAAGGGGAGCGAAGTTTTGGTAGAAGTGGGAATTGTGCTGAGATTCTGCTCTGACACATGGTGGTACTTTCTGAGCCTCTCCTTTTCCCTCAGTTGACTCCGTATTTCCGCACCTGTGGCAACGACTGCATCCGTCGCAAAGGAACCGTTGTACTTTGTCCACAAACAGATACGTCCTTCCCTTTGGATAACAGTAAGTGCCCAGTCACTGTCACCAGATGATCAAAGAGGTTCAGGACATGAGGGCCACTGTCACCCCCCCATCAGTATGACAGGATGCACATGGGGGTGGGACAGAGTCCCTGCCTGTGGATGCTAAACTAGCGGGCAGGGACAGATGTCAGAGCTGCCCAGAGCCTGCAGTTGGAATAAGAATGAAGGCTTTATTTATAAAATCACCCCAAGTCCTTTATGAAGCAGGATATATACAAGAAGGGGAAAAATAAACAGTGCAAAATGGATGTTCAGAGCCACAAGGATCTGCTGAAAAAAAGTCAAGAGCATAACAGGACTGAGTGAATGAGAGAACGTGCACTTCCCTACATTTATCTTATTAGTCCCAGTGGCCCAGGCCTCGCTGTGGCTGTAACTTGATGGGGTCACATGGCCAACATTTGGATAACAAATTAGGAATACTGGCACCAGAAGACATGCCTCATTGGAACGAAGAGCAGCATGTTCTGGAAAAGGTGCCTCCGGATTTAGAGATGTTAGTGCTTCCATTTACAGTTCTGGAATTAGCCCAAGAGTGGAGTCAACACTTGGAAGGTGTTCTTGAAATGCAGCCAAATCAACTGAAGACAACCCAGGTGTTGAACAGTCCTGAATGTGTGGCCACAGTGACTGTGGGTTCTTGAGCACATCTGTGTGCCTGAGCTTACCTGGTCCTTGGCATTCCGTGAGGGGTGGCAATATCCCCCACATATCCAAGTCTTACAATACAGCCTTTAAAAATGCCATCTCTGTTTACCAGATATTAAGTATCTGTGCCCAGAATAACATTAATTTGTCAAAGAACAACAACAACAACAAAAAATGAATGTGAACTCTGGTTACCACGGTGTAAACACGGAGTGGGAAGCCAAAGTGAACTGAGAGGACTGCTCTCCGCCTCCTCCCATATCCCTCTTGAGAACTGAGTGAAAGATGTGGACGCTGTAGGAAAACATACCATTCTTCAGACTGAGAGATCTAGTGACCCTTGGTTTTAAAGGGGTCTAAACTTCTGCAAAGTATAGAGTAATAATCTTGGTTTCCAAACATGAGGTCATTTGGTTTGGTTTTGTTTCTGCAGGTAGAAGCATGCTTAGTGGCTGGCTGCCTCTCCTCCTCCTGGCCCCACTGGCAGCCACGGGGATGCTGGCGGCTGGGACCTGTCTCATGCGGAGGCATGGTAAGGGCAATAATGCTGTGCTTTCAAGAAACCTGGGTGAAGAAATAACACTTTGAATGTTTTTAAAGGAGATTCCTCTAGAGGCCATCCCATTTTGGCACTGAACAGGAGTCAGATAGCATTTACTTAATGCCTAGAGCTCTCCTAAAAAGACTGACATAACGACTGGGTCACATCTGCTGAGCTAAAGCAGGGATCGAATCTCCAAACCTGTGGCTATCATCTGTTTTATTTTTACCATTGAGGCATGGACAGGTACTGAAAAGGGCAAAGATAGCTAATAAGGAATGGCACTGTACCTGTGGTAGGTCCTCTCTGCTAGTTCCTATCCTATATAATAAAAGAGAAACATCCAAATTAACCGTCCCTTTGCTACGCTCAAGCCACACCTGCAAAGCCACGCCTACCAGCCAATCAGGAGCGAGTATGCAAATTAACCCAACTAAGATGGCAGCGGCCATGGAGCTGGAGTGAGCAGGAGACTTGGGTTGCCCCCGGCGATGGAGGAAACCAAGCCCTCAGCTCCACTCAAGGCTACAAAGTTTCAATTATAGAAGATAAATAAATCCCAGAAAAAAAGAAGAAAAAAAGGAGAGGCTGGGAGTTTGGGTGGCTGGGGGGCGTGGCCAGCCTGAAAACGGCCATCAGCCCCTCCCTCACCCAGGATGGCCAGGCACCCCAGCGGGACCCCCACCCTGATCAGGGACACCTTTCAGGGCAAACCAGTTAGTCCCCACCTGTTCACCAGGCCTCTATCCTATATAATAAAAGGATAATATGCAAATTGACCCTAACAGCAGAACTACTGGGAATGACTGGTCACTATGACACACACTGACCACCAGGGGGCAGACGCTCAATGCAGGAGCTGCCCCCTGGTGGTCAGTGCTCTCCCACAGGGGGAGCTCTGCTCAGCCACAAGCCAGGCTGACGGCTACCAGCACAGTGGTGGTGGCGGGAGCCTCTCCTGCCTCCTCTGCAGCGCTAAGAATGTCCGACTGCAGCTTAGGCCTGCTCCCTGCTGGCAAGTGGACATCTCCCAAGGGCTCCTGGGCTGCCAGAGGGATGTCTGACTGCCAGCTTAGGCCCGATTCCCTGGGGAGCGGGCCTAAGCCAGCAGGTGGACATCCCCCATGGGGTCCCAGACTGCAAGAGGGCACAGGCCGGGCTGAGGAACCCCCTCCCTCCCTGAGTGCACAAATTTTTGTGCACCAGGCCTCTAGTTTTTAAAAATAATTCTTATAAGGCATAAGAACAGTGGTAACTTGGATTCATATATTCTAAGGGCCTTGCCAACATTAAAATATTGAGGATTGACTATAGAAACCCGAGTAAAAAGACATCCAGCTAGAGGGTGGTACACTGAAAGAAGAGAAAATAAAGGCAGTCTGTCTCTCATCACAGATAACGTAGATAAAACAAGCTTAATCTCATGATCTAAGCTAAGAAGGCTGTGGAACTAGGACCTCAGGAATACTTGTACTTAGAAGATATTGTGTGGCCTGAATTAGCTATAGTACTTTCAAAGATGGTTTCTGTTCTATAGCACACATAGGGCAGCTTTCCAGTTACGTTCCAGCTGAAAAGGGGCGCCACTTAACCCTATGGAACTATAAAGAAACTCTACCACCTGCTGGTAGAAAATGGAATTACTACTGAATTGACCCAAAAACGTGAAGGGCAGAGGCCAGGATGTTCCTGTTTATACAGTATATGGTACTAACAATACTAAAGTTACAACAACCCACCTAAAACAGAATACCTCAAACCTATGAATTTACCTGAAAAGGTATGGCTTGACTAAGAGACTGATTTAATAATAAGGACTTACAAAATACAGCTTTTACAACATCTTTATGGCAAAAGCCTACCATTTGCTATTTATAGATAACAAATGTTTTTCTCTCTCCACAGGAAGGATCAAGACTTCCTTCCCCACCACCACGCTACTGCCCCCCATTAAGGTTCTTGTGGTTTACCCACCCGAAATATGTTTCCATCACACAGTTTGTTACTTCACTGAATTTCTTCAGAACCACTGCAGAAGTGAGGTTATCCTTGACAAGTGGCAGAGAAAGAAAATAGCCGAGATGGGCCTGGTGCAGTGGCTCACCACTCAGAAGAAAGCCGCGGAAAAAGTCATTTTCCTTCTTTCCAATGATGTCAACACTGTGTGTGATGGTACCTGTGGCAAGAGCAAGGTCAGCCCCGGTGAGAACTCCCAAGACCTGTTCCCCCTGGCCTTTAACCTCTTCTGCAGCGACCTGAGGAGCCAGACTCATCTGCACAAATACATGGTGGTCTACTTTAGAGAGGCTGATATCAAAGACAGTTACAATGCCCTCAACGTCTGCCCCAAGTACCGTCTCATGAAGGACGCTGGCGCTTTCTGCACAGAACTGTACCATGCCGAGCAGCACGTGTCGGTGGGGAAAAGGCTGCGAGCCTGCCACAGCTGCTCCTCCGTGTAGCCCACCCACGAGAAGCGAGAACTTGAAGCCTTCCTACCCCTCCTCCGGTTAGAAAAGCTTGTGTTGGTTCTGGAGTTTACTGTATAGGCTACTTGTAGGGTGGACTGTATGTATATAACTACTTTAGTAATAGGGAGGACTCATAACGGAACATATACGCCTTAGTCTGGTAATTAAAAATTTTATGCCACTAGTTACAAATATTACTAACTACTGTAGTACTAACTGAAGAATGGAAACTACATTTATAATTATAAAGCTAAATCAATTTAGTTATAACTAAAAATAATAGTTATAAAATGAAACCATACCATCTGACAATGCAACGAGAAAGCCTCTTCCAGCTGAACGTCCAGTCTTGAATAGTCCCTGCCCTGCATTGTAGGCAGACGTGTTTAGCTTTGTAACGTGCCAAGATTAATTAATGAATGCCAAATTTAGTAAGCCCTAGCTAATTCACTCAATAATTTCTTAGCTAAAAACTCGCTCTCACACACATCTTTATTTTTAACAAAAATAGGAACAACAGGCTGAACCATCTTTGCTGACCAGACGACCTAGTATATTTGTACTGGGCATTTGGCATTTTCATAGGACCTTCCCTCTCTGAACTAGGTTCATGTCCTATTTGCCTCTTGTACAGGTGACTTTCACATGAACACCAAAATATACTTGCAGACCTGTTGTCTACTTCTGTCCAGTTACCTATTAGAGGTCACCGTCAGAGTTCAGTTTCTTGATTATGTAAATTTTTGTGTTTAGAACAAAAATAATTCCTATTATGTTGGAAGACAGCCCTCTTGAAGTAATTAATCTTACGAGTTATTATAATGGCTTACTTAGGTAAAAACAAACTACCATGGAGTTACAGAATACAAGAGTTATATGGTATTTTGAGCCTTCTAACTTTTTAATTTTCCTAAAAGCATCTTTTTTACTCCAGGTCACCAAAAGGTTATGTATGTTAGCATATGTATTTTTCTGGGAATGCCTGTCCTTTCACACAGCACAATACTAAATCTGCTCCAGAATGTGGACCAGTTTCAGGTAGATGACTGCTAAAATGTATTTGTTGAGTATTCTAATACATGTCCTAAGAATAAAATAAAAACCAAAGTGCGTAAGCATAGAGTGAAATCTCACCGTGTCCAACTTCACCAGCAGTTACTTAGTAATGACTCAGGCAATATGTTTAATGTGGAAAAAGTCCCTCATTTGTCAAGATTAATCTTCACGGTGCTTTAAAGTGCTGATGATAAAAGACGGGACATGGCTATGTCAAAACTCGGACCGGAAGCCAACTTCCTCTGAATCAACATCTACCAGTTATAAGAGCAATGTACTATTACATGAAAAACTACTGCAAACAGAAAGAGCCCTGGCCCCTGTGACTCGGTTGAGCGTCGTCCCAGGCACTGAAAGGTCATTGATTCGATTCCCAGCTGGGGAACATGCCCAGGTTGCAGGCTCAATTCCTGATTGGGGTGCATTCAGGAGGTAACTGATAGATGTCTCTCTCACACTGGTCTCTCTCTCCTTCCTTCCTCTCTGAAATTAATAAACATATTAAAAACAAACAAAAAATTGTATTTTTGGGACTAGATAGCTAATACTAAATTGTGTTGAAACAGCTCAGAAACATAAAATCTTAGGTAATTATTGTTTAAAAAATTTTAAGTCAAAGAACATACAATTTTCAAATTGAAGGCATACATTCCAAATAGTACTTGCAAGTTACATTTTGTTATACCCCTTGTTCCTAACCTACTGGGCAGATACACAGGATACTCTTACTAATGCAAAATGCTCTGTTACCAGCACTGCTCCATGTCTTAAGACTTATTACCATCCTCATTCTATACTAGAGGCCAGGAGCATGAAATTCGTGTGGAGGTACCATCTCTAGGCCTGGCCTGCAATCAGGCCCATCTTCCCTGGCTGCCCACAGCCAGCCCTGCCCCCCGTTGCCACCCACACCTGGTTCCCCGTCTGAGAGGTCAGCCTGCTCACGCCAGCCCTGCTCCTGCTGTGGGTTGCTCTCTTTATGTGGGGTGGAGGCCTTGGCCTGGCGCCAGCGGTGTCCCCTGCCACCCACCCCCAGTTCCCCGTTCACCATTGGGCGATTGGAGCCTGCTGGCCAGGGAAAGGGACCGAGAGGTGGTCAGTGCATCTCATAGTGACTGGTCGAGCGGTCATCTGGTAGTTCCACCATTAGGGTCAATTTGCATATTACCCTTTTATTATATAGGATTCCACTCTTATTCACCCCTTAACTGTCCCTACGTGTCTCTGCCCCAGTCCCACCTCCAGTTCTTGATGGTGAGATAGTGGAAGCAAGTGCAAGAGACTGGCAGGAATCAGGCACTGCCCAACCCTCCCAGGTCTCAGAGCCCCCAGGCTTTGCTCACTGACTGGCTCCCCTTCCAGCAGACAATGCCTTCTCTTCCGCTCAGGCTTCCCTAAGGCCTGGACCACTGGTGGTGACAGCTGTCTGCTTCAGACTGCTCACAGGTTAAGGTCAACTGATCACACTGAACACAAAGAACTCCAAATGTTTTCACTGGTTCTTCAGGTAAAGAGAATTGTTAGCAGTAATTGTAGCAGTTAGCCTGCTTATCTGTACAACACATGCTAACAACTCTTAAATTATACCCAAGTCATTCGTATTGGCCGTATCAAAGAAACAAAATTCCCTTTTCTGCTCTTGTTCTGTTTTGGTCAGATGACGACTGTTTTCTTTTCCTTGCCCTAGAGTATGTTGGGTAACAGAAGCCAGCCAGCCCAGCCTTAAACCTTTGCGTTGACAAATCTAGACCTGAATTTGCCCTCATCATTTTTGTAATCTAACAGAAAATTAAAAAAATAAAACTTGTTCCTATTTGAAATTCCGAGAGTCACATCATGTGCTCCCTGTTCTAGCCAAGAGGGAAAATGCCATGACCACACCATTTTCACAATCCAGGCGCCGAAGTCACACACCCACTCCTCAGGGACGCAGGAGACTGTCTCATGTCACTTAGAAGTCAACTTCAAGGAAGAGCTTCACCACTGGACAACTGCTCAACCACTCACATCACCGTGGAGTTCCTGAGTCCCTGAATGGGGCAGGGGACCTTAGCGCATTTATTCTCAAACGTCTTGACTGCAGAAGCAGCTTATAATTTCACACCAAGGTCATGTTCTCAACACACAAGTTAAAATTCATTTATTTTCCACGAAATTGAAGCACTTAGGGTAATAAATTAAAAAAATATATATACATATATATATATTCTCTAAGAGTCTTTTATACCAAGAGGCTTGTTTGGGGTCTCCAAGAGTGACTTTTCCTGCCCATTTCACCATACGAAGGCAGCTCGCTCTCGTAACATGCGGACACCAAAGCGCTGCCATTCTCGCTGGTAGATCCACAGTTCCTGTGTCGTATCCAAACAAGCCAGCACTGCACCCCCTTTCCATGAAATCAGCCGAGGATCCATGTCCTAGAGCAGCGGTACAGATAGGTCAGCACAAGCAGACAAGATGTCCACTCAATCATTTATTTGAATTGGGGGCGTGGGGGGGAACCCCTGCAGCTGAGTCAATACCTAATAAGCCAGATTTTAAACCTGCATTAAGGACTCATGAACTACAGGCCTCTTTCTGTTTCAACTGACAAGAAAACTTTTTAGTTTGTATTACTAAAGCTATTATTATTCACTATTATTCCACAAATAGCTCTGAAGACAGAACATACGTAAGGAAACAACTTACTTTGAAATTGGAGTAGAATAAATATATCCCACAATCTCTCCCTCAGGATTAAAATTAAGTGAGAACATTCCCAGGAATTGCCAATGAGATATGATGAAGTATAGGCACAATTTGTTTCTAAATTCCTAGTTTTATACTTCAAGACAGTTCAAGCCTAAATGATTCTTAAAGATCACCTGGTCTAGGGACCAGTAGCAGATTCTCAGCATGAAAGATAACACAGGAGTTGTTCTGGCTGATGGCATGACATGGGCCAGTCTCCTCCAGGTCCCACTGTCCTACAAAGGCACCCAGTCTTGCTAGCTTTGGACAGCACAGCAGGGACTAAAACCCAGAATCCAGTCCCCTTGCCCAGAGCTCCTTTCTCCACATCTGTGACCTGCTGTAAGTAACATTTCCACTTGCCCCAAACCCTCAAGAACTCCCAGACATGTGACCATAACTTCCAGGATTTTATCTGTCCACATACAATAGAATTAGAAATAATCAATGCTTGTTTCATTTACACAGTCCAACTTGTACCATGAACAACATACCTTGGGCCTTGTGATAACTTCCACATTTTCAATAATTCGCCTGAATGAAGGTGGCATTTTGTTGAGAATTCTGTGCTGCAGAAATTCTTGTGCTTTATGAAACATCAAACCACCTCCCACCACCAGGATGGAACTGTACATCTTCTTTTTGGTGTCATCAGATGCTGCAAAGACAGTGATAGCCCTTCCACGCTTTTTCTCCATACCCACCCCACCCTAGGGATATCCACCACCACCTCTTGCTTAGTTAGATAATGCAAGAGCCTGCTCAAGGATCTCTCTCCAACCCAACAATGCAGCCAGAGGAACCTTACAAAACACAAAATGAGCATGTTGCTGCCCACACCCTGGTACTCGCAGAAAGATCCAAATCTCTGAGGCCTAAAAAGTCCCATGTAGCGTGCACTCTCTTCTCTAGCCTCCTCCTCACACGGTGTCCCAGCCACACTGGCCCTCACACAGGCTAAGATCTTCCTCTGGCTAACCGCCACTCACCGCCCAGATCTCTCTCAAGTGGTTTTTTCCCCCGACTCCCCCACTCCACACCTCCCCTATGGAGTAAAACACCCTTATTAAATCCCTCATTCAGAAGCTCTCAGTCAGTACTATTTAGTTCAATTCTGTTGCACCTGCCACAGTTGTAATTTCACATTTGTGTGATAACTTGCCTTATTTTGGTCTCCTCCAACAAGGCCAAGGACCAATTCCCAACACCCAATAATGCAAGCACAAGGTAGGTGCTTGGCTGTTTTGAATGAGTAACGCTATGCTACACTGCACAGCCACCCCTAGCTTCAGCCAGTTCATGTAATGGCTACCTCCCGGCCTCCCAAATGTGCTTACAACAGCAGTCTATGCTATGAAGGATGGCTTTATCCAGGCCTAGGGCTTTCCCTTCAAACAGCGAGATGGCAGTCTTCCTGGACATCAGCGCAGTGAGGGCCTCCTCAGAGTCATTGCCAGCCATCAGACAGTCTCCCTGGGAGGATCCCAAATCCACCTCCTGGGAATGGAGTCTTTCCGGAAGATCCGAGGACTGCCCACGAAGATCCCCTTCAAATCCAATGGGCTTGGATGCAGACTTGCGGTCAGCAGTAGCTTTTGCAGACTTTAAATGAAAAGGACAATCGAGTAGATGGTATGACTAAGAACACTGTCCATGTTTTCCAACTAGACCCCCTCCCCCTGCTGCTCCCTCACATGCACTACTATACACGAGGGCCTGCTGCTGTGGTGCAGAGAGGAGATACATCAGAGTATACAACCACCCACCTGAGAGAGAGGATGACAGAAGAGGATGCACTATGACAATTCTAAAGCAGTCTCTGGCAGGGAGGGCGATCTCAGCACCTTACTATTACAGGCTGGATTTTAAAATTGAGATGTCAGTGCAGACTAACTTTTCTCCTTGAACTGAGTTTTTAAGCGGAGTATTTCCGTGGAATTCTTGGGCCAGTGACTGTTATGAAATCCTCATTTTCAGACCTTTTCTAACCACCTCGTGCTCACCTTTGGGGCAGGAATGAGGACTAGAAAATACGGCCCTCTTCTCTTCACCATGAGCTGCCGTTTCATTAGCAGATAACAGCTCTAATTTGTGCCCCGGCATCAGCCATCCTATTACTATCATCAGCTCTGGACAAAGGAATGCAACTCTTTGCTTATGCCACACAACCCTCATACCTTATAATTAAATAGAGGTGAGATTTTACTGAAAATATTTACTACGGATAAATATTCAAAAGTCACTCCATTAAATTTACTTTTAAATGTGTGGATTGGTATTCTGAAAAATGGATGAATGCTTGCTGAACCAAAAAAGATCTGCCACCCAGATTTTAAATTTAGACTTCATTTCATCTACAGTTCTAAAACAGAATCAGCTTTAGCACTCTGTCAGATGGCAGTGACTGCACTGATCGATGGATCACGGGCCAACTTCTCCTGCAGGGACAAAACCTCTCCTCTCACACCAGAACCTGCGGACCTGCTCCTGCTTGCTCTGTGTGGCCAGCAGGTAGTGCTCATCATGCGGGTCCTCAGGGTCACCCTGCGACCTGTGCTGCAGAGTCGTCATTTTTTGTCCAACGATTCCAAAGGTTGCTGGATAAAACAAAGCCATTGGCGCCTGTGTGTGGAAGGAAAAGAATAATCACCTGAGATACTGCCTCCTGAAAAAACTGACCCACTAAATTTTGTTCTTCCAAAAAATAAAACTGGCAGATTAGATCCTAGAAGTTAGATTGTGAAGTGTCCTTTTTTGGGAAAAGCATTATTTCTTTAGTGCAGACAGGCAGAACACTCACTTATCATGCAAATTGAATGGGTGACATGACACCACAGGATCTCAAAGCAAATGTTACTTAGAAGGATGGAATCTCTCTCTAAATGACTTAATCACGTAGTGACTAATTAAAAAGATGGTTCTCAGATCTGTTCTAATTTGATTTAGTGAATAATCTACACGAGTTCACATTCTGCCCTCATGAGGTTTCTAGCAAGGGACCGAGCCTGGCTGGCTTTCTTTCTAGCCGTGAAAATATATACCCACGCATTACCTGGAGCTTTTCATCTCCTAAGCGAAACTGGTAAAGCAGGGCAGGCGAATCTGGATGTCGAATCTGAAACTCATGGTCCTGAAGCCCAGAGATGTCCTGATTCCAGGAAAAGATGCTGTCAGTGAATCAGTAAAAGTGCACGTAAACTCCTCTAATTACAGTGAAGCCTCCCTATCATGTTAACCTCACCTATAAAAGGGCTGCCCTACAACTTTCTACCACACCCACTGGAACTTCCTAAGAGTTCA